CGTCAAAATGGTTGTTGCGAATCTGTCTGTTTGTTTTGTTTGCTTGCTTGCTTTCTTGCTTGCCTGCCTGCCTGCCTGCCTGCCTGCCTGCCTGCCTGCCTGCCTGCCTGCCTGCTTGCTTTGCTTGCTTGCTTGCTTGCTTGCTTGCTTGCTTGCTTGCTTGCTTGCTTGCTCTGAAGCAGATCCTGTGTAGCCTGGGCTGGAGTCAAAAGTTACTGTGTAGCAAAGACTGACCTTGAACTCCTGATCCTCCTGCCTCTATCTCCCGAGTTCTGAGATTATAGATTTATGCCAGCACACCTGGCCATGAAAATAAGTATTTTAAATGCCGTTTCACCAAGAATTAGTATAGAGTTGGTGAAGCTTGCAGTTGTAAGGCGCTACCCTGACTTTTCCCCCCAGATAGTTCAATAAATTAATAGTCTTGAAGTTATGAAAGAGGTGCATTTTCACAATTCAGCAATAAGTGAAAATTGCTTACATTCTTACAGGAGCAAACTTTCAGTGTTGTGCTTACCTAATTATCAGAACGTTGGAAGTACATGGCTATAGACCTTTAAGGTTGTTTCTACTGCCATCTCTAGCTCTCCTGAAATTTTGACATGGCAGAGGTTTTAGACAGTATAAATATGCCTATGTGTATATATGTGTGTTCATTATAAAGGTAAAGCTTAATCCCTCATATAGCAAGTGTATACAGATAAAAAATGACCTCTATTTGCACTTTACTGCCTGATGTTCATTGTGGCCCTTGGTTATCCTGTTGGCCACATTTTGTACATTTGAAAGGCTCTTAAAACAAAGAAAGATGGGAGTAGTAATGGACTAAAATAGACTGCTGCCATTAATCAGTAATTCTTTCATGTTAAGACAATTTGTGGAATTCTGTGGGAAGTAAATTGATAAGCGTCGTTTGTCCAAATCACATTTCCCACAATTGATATTGAAAAACACATTCAAAAGAACAATAAATGTTCATTCTGTAGTTGTTTGACGTGTCTTGAGAACTACCACTAATACAAAGGTGCATTTTGGGTGCTGACAGAGGAGTGAACTGGAAATAAAACACAACTGGTGTACGGAATCCACTTGCTCTTAAAACAGTCCATCAAGAGAGGTGAGGTGGCCAGTGACATCTGTCATAATGTGACTTAATTCCATGCACACACATTGACTTAAGCCCTGTCTGGAAACAGTGATGAAGAAGCATGAGGGCTTGTTCATCTAGTCCACAGATATTAACTTTATTTAGGTTCTTTATGGTATCTTCCTGAGAGTGCTAGATCACACAAAGCCATGTTCCTAATAAAGTTTGAAAATAACCAGTGTTCTTGGTGGAATTAGGAAGTGCAGAGTGACCTGAGCGCCCACTGCTCTTTTTCGATAGTTTCTAAACTGATAGTTCTTACCAAAGTCATTTTCCTTATGTTTAGGTTAGGCATGTATAAAATTAATACCATGTGCATGACTGACAGGTGTTCCAAAAGACCCTTTCATTTTGAGACAGCATCTCATCGATATAGCCCAGGATGGCCTTGAGGACTGCCTTTGCCTCCCCAGTTCTGGGATTATAGGGATTTGTCATATCTGACTTCTGAAAACCCTTCTCAACTTCAGTCGGGCTATTCAGAATCTTCTCACAAGAGTTTCTCAGCCTTGGCACGCTGACACGGTGGACCAGGTGTATAGTACAGTCTTGTGACACTGTAGGACTTGTCCTAGACACTGTAGGATGTTTATTAGTGTCCTTGCCTCTCCTGCTACTTGCCAGTAGCACCTTCTCCAACTTGTGTTGTCATAAATGTCTCTTGAGGACAAAGAAAATCACCAACTTAAACTAATAGCATGCAAAAATGTTTTTTTTAGTTTAAAAAATTTTTTATTTTTATTTTTATGTATTGCTTGCATATATGTAATATATATTATATTTCTTGCATATATATAATTGCACCTGTGTCATGCAATGCCCACGGAGGTCAGAAGAGGCCATTGGATCCCCTGGAACTGGAGTTACGGACAGTTAGCCGCCGTGTGAGTGCTGGGAATCGAACCCTTGTCCTCTGCAAGAGCAGCCAGTGCTCTTAACTGCTGAGCCATCTCTCCAGTCCCGCAAAAATGTTTTTACTGTGTATTCTAGACTTTGTTTTTAGACTTGGTTCTAGGTATAGGCGAGTTTCAGGATCCATTTCTACTTAAGTTCATGTCTTACATGGTACTATACCTAATCCAGTATATATTGCTACTGTATTCTCTGTTGTGACTTAATATGCTCATTTTACCAAGTAAATAGAGACATTATCATTATAGCTTATGACTTTGGCTGCACAATTGTAGCTATTAATTAAATTTCAGAATCATGAAACTCAGTACTCATTAACAAGAACTCATCCTCTACCTGCATGCCTGGTACCCACCATTCTACATTCTGCCTGTATGAATTAGAGTCTTCCAGATATGTAAGTGTAGCCCAGGTGGGCTTTGAACTCAGTGTATAGCAGAGGATGACCTTGCCCTTCTCATCCTCTTGCTTCCATCTCCCGAGAGCTGGATTACAGGTATATATCACCACTCCTAGTTTTGTGTGGTGCTAAGGATTAAACCCAGGACCCCATGCATGCTTGGCAAGCACTCTACCAACTGATCTACATCCCTAGCCCAAGATAGCCTATTTAGTATTGTTTTCAAGGTTTGTTCATGTTGTAGCATGGAACAAGATTTTCTTCCTCTTTAAGGTTGATTACTCCATTATGTGTATGCACACACACACACACACACACACAGTACTTTCTATGTATCTGTTCATCTGTCTATGGACAGCTGGGTCACCTTTGGCCATTATCAATAATAATGCCATGGATATGAGTTATAAGTAACTGTTCATATCTTTTCCTTTACTTCTTTTGGGCAGATACCCCAAAGTGGAATTATTAAATTATACTGTAATTCTGTATTTATTTTTTGAGAAGCCACCACCATATGATATTTAGCTATAATTACCACAAAGCTGAAATAATCTTTAAAAATATATTTCAAGTGCTTGGCTTTTTTAAATATATTACTTGTTACAGGTTAATTTTATGTAGAATTGAATATTATTAAATGAAAAATTTTATATTATGGTGAATATGGTATTATCCTCAGAAAGAGGGAAGAGAAGAGAGGTACATACTGTGTTGTATTTCTGTACCCAAACCCCTCAGATTCTGTGGTCTAGGTTTGGCTCTGCTCTCCTCCTCCACTGACAACATTTCTTGCCATCCCATCTGTGGTGGTTTGAATGAGAGTGTCCCCCACAGGCTCCAAGTACTTGGACATTTTGTCCCCAGTTGGAGGCGCTGTTTTGGGAGGTCTTATGAAATGTCGCCATGCTGGAGGAAGCACGTCACTGGGGTCAGGCTTAGAGTGTTCTTAAGCCTTGCTGGATTTCCAGTCATGCTCTGCTTCCTGTGCCTCCTTCAAGATGTGAGAGCATCTGCTCCCACTCCTGCCACCTCTGCGGCCATGCTTCCCCGCCATGATGGACTCTTGTCTCTTTGGTACCACAAATTAAATAAACTCTTCCTTTTCCCTTGGTCATGGTGTTTTATCGCAGCATAAGAAAAGTAACTAAGACACCATTGATGAGCTGTTTCTTCTTCTAATCCGTTGTAGCCTTGGAAACTAGTTAACTGATTAGAATGTTTGTAATGTTGGCCAGTTATGCTTAGAGTCGTCTGAAAACTACAGTGTTTACAGATGACCTCTGTGGCTTTTTTTTTCCCACTAGCTTATAGATCATAATCTTCGACTAAATTTGAAATAGATGACCTTTCTATGTAGCTGAGTTTTATTTGCATGTACACATAGCAGTATTGTCAATATGTGAGCATATAGCTAACTTTCCTCCTTTTTCATTACTAACTGTTGTGAAATAAGTAACAGCTGTTATTATTAAACGTAGGAAATTAAGAAAAGGTACAGTTGAGCGAGTTCTGAACTTCTGAAAAGAAAGCAGCAGTAGATCTTCATTTGCGTTGGGAGTTGTCAGCTTTCAGCTTACACGTGGGCTTTGAGGCCAAGGAATGTGATAGGAAAATGCTACTTGGACATGTGTATATCTTCAGTCACAATATTCTGTAACTACAAAATAGAAATACTTGGGGCTGGAGCAATGGTTCAGTAGTTAAGAGTACATACTGCTCTTGCAGAAGACCCAAGTTCAGTTCCCAGCACCCAGCTCACAGTCTCCTGTAACTCCAGGTCCAGGGAACCCAATGCCTTTGGCCTCCCCAAGTGCCTGAACTTGTGAGCACAGACACACACACACACACACACATCTTTTTTTTAGTGGAAATACAGATCATTAATAATAGCTTGGCTAAAAGTCTTTTCCAGCAGCCATATAGTTAAGAGAGGATATGTCGGGTGGAATGGGTTGAACACACAGGTGTGGGGGAAATGCTGTTACTGTCATTTGGGTTACCTACATTGTTTAAATTATTGCAAAACTGTATTGCTAAAAATTAAATTGTTAAACTTAAAAAATCCTTTACTGACAGGAGACTAAAATGTGGTATGATCTGCCTTCTAGATGCTTTGCTTATATACTGGTACTCACCTTTCATTAAGCACCCAGGGCACTGAGCTAGCAGCTTGGCAGGTTTTGCTTCCACTCTTATAGATGTTATTTATGAGTGTAAAGTATCACTTTCCTAATTTTTTTTTATGCTAAAGAAACTCTTAACTTGCTCAGTGTCATGCAGCTGGTGATGGGTGAGCCTGAGTTTGAAGTTGGGCTCATGTGCCTCCCAAGTCTATTTTTCTCCACTGAGCTGCACTGAATCAGGTTTTACCTGGCTGGAAGGAGAGTCCAGTCTGTTGCCTTATATGTGTGGCTGAGATCAAAAGGCCAGACAAGCCCGTTATGACTTTTCAGTTCAAAAGAAGGGAGAAAACTAACATCTGAGCATGGTGCTTAGTATTCTCTGTATTTATTAAAGGTAAAGAAAGATAAGGGTTGGTAAGATGGCAGATGCATAAGAAATGAAATAAATGAATAAATAATTTAAAATTAGGTCAAACAAGATAATGTTTTGATGAAGTATTTATATTTTTCTTTTTGGGCTGTAGCTTTTCCTTTAGACTATTATGGCTTGGCGGGGAGGGGTCCTTCAAAATACTTTAATAAACTCTTCATGTTTTGTTCAGTTTCTGGAGAATTCCAGCCCAGAAGGCTAGTGACTTAAAGCAGTAAAGTTTGTTTAAAGCATTTCGCAAATGTATTAGGTAAACAAATCCTGCCTAGTCGTCCCTTCTACCACTGTGATAACCTATTCAGATCCAGTGCTCTGTGCAATGTATTTTAGGGGAAAGTTTGACTAAAACCAGATCTTCAGAACTCACTTTAACTTCTCACTTGAAAACTCTTGGTGCTTTGGAACTTTGGACCAACTTAGCAGAAAACCTATAGAGTTGTTTTGTCTTGTGAAAGAAATGTTTTGTCGCCTGTGTAAAACTGCTTTTCCAAGTACCTGCTATGCAGCCCCTTGGTAGAAATGGCATTGATCTGGGTGTTAAACAGATCTAAGTTTGACTCAGCTATTAGATGAGGGCCAACTGAGAAGGAAAGAAGTGTCTTTAAGCCTTCATGTATATGTCTTTAAATGAAGTGGTAAGCTGTGCCAAGCATCCATTTCTGGGTCTATTTTGTAGGTACTGAGAGACCGTTGGCTTTTCCAGAGCTCCAAGGACATTATGGGCTGCCAGAAAAGTTTCCAGCTTTTCCCAGTAGTTGTTTTTCTGGAGCTGGCATCCAAGTTCACAGTCTTTTCTTTGAGGACACCCACGTCCCTTTTTCATTAGAGCCCTGGAGTTAAGTCTGTAGGAATGTAGAATGACTTCACATGCTCTCTTGGTTTTCATGGTTTGCCTTTGTCACAGGGCTTGGTGGCTTGTCTGATAGGGCTTAGACGTCTAAGTCCTATTAATCCGACTTCTGAGGGCATGCATGTGGAATGCTGTGAGTGCAGATGTAGTTGCTTATGCTTTTTTCCTGTTTAGTTCTTTGTTGTGTGTATTCAAAGATACTAACTGAAATTATAGTTTAGGGAGAGAAAATTGATATATGCCATTTTTATTCCTTCTACAATATTTCATCTGTGTTTTTGTGGTACTCAGAGGGAAACACCTTTTTGTCTGTTAAGAACCACTGCAAGAAAAACTTAGGTATTTGACACGAGTTTTAGGTGATGACGTCGCTTTAAGGACTAGAACTGAACCAGAAGAGATGTCGTGAATTCTTGTAACTTATAACATGATTTTTCCTAATGTATCTAAAAATGCTTCATGTAAGACAGATTTTAATTTCATATAATGATTTTTTAGTATACCCTTTTAGAGTTGGTTAAAATATGTAGTGGAGAAATAAAGATATGAAAAATAACTTGGATTTTGTCAGTCAGTCATACTAGATGAACTAGAGACATAGCTTAGTAATAGAGCACTTGCCTAGCAAGCCCTAGGCCCCAGGTTTAATCTACTGCCAGTTTAGTCACTAGAGCCATAAAGACACTAGACATTTTTGAAATTTTAGAAATGTATCTATGTTCAGTTATAGTAAGAAAAACCTTAAATGTTTCTAATATCATATTCTTTATTTATGAGACAGAGTCACTTTGTAACCCAAGCTGGCCTTAAACTCACAAGTCATCCTTCAGCCTTAACCTCACAAATGTTGGGATTACAGGCATGAGCCACAGCACAGAACTTAAAATATCATGTTCCTGATGGACATTAAAACCATGATTCAGGAACTGAGAGGTGACTCAGTGGTTAAGAGTACTTGCTTTTGCAGAAGACCTGGGTTCAGTTCCCAGCACCCACATGGCTGCTCACAACCATCTGTAACTTCAGCCAAGGGATCTGACTCCCTCTTCTGGCCTCCAAGGGCACCAGCTATGCATATGGTGCACATACACATATGCAGGCAGATAAAACACTTCATACACATAAAATAAAAACTATAATGCAGTTTTATCATGGTGACTACCAGCTGGTTGTTAAAGTAACAGAATATCAGTCAATAAAGTTATGTTGTGTCATATGTATACAGAAGCAGTTGTTTGGAAGATGCTATGTGACTTTCTCATTTTCCTTTCTCAGGTGTATAATGACCATTTAACAGCTAGTGAGAAGCAGCGTCTACTCCAGTGGGAGGACTTCATGAAAGAACAGCCCCAGCGACAGGCCGAAGTGGATGAGGAGCACAGAAGAGCCATGGAGAAGCTCAAAAAGCAATATGCTGAGATGGAGAAGGACCTAGCCAAGTTTTCCACCTTCTAAGAGGTTGATCTACAGCAGGAACAGATGAATGCGAAAGCACTAGCTTACCCCAAAGCCTCCCACCAACTGTCTAGCCTCTTCCTTAAGCTCAGCAATACCCTTTGTGGCACTCTCCATCATAAGAGAGAAACTGGGGGAGCCAGACTAACGTTCAGTGATGAAGAGTGCTTTAAGTGCCTAAATATACTCATTTGAGGGGAAGAGGGAAATTGGGACAAATTTGGTCTTTTCAGTGATTAACTTAGAGAGCTGTGAGTACAGGTTATTCATTCTCACACAGAGTTAGGCATAATTTACAATCGTGGTTTAAAAGGGAGGTGTGATGGCTGTCCATCACAGCATCCTGACAGAGATGGCCACAGTGGGATTTGAACAGCCTCTTGGAAAGGCTCAGATTTTGCAGTGCAGCACATGTCATGTTTCACTGGGTACTAGGGCATACATGGTTCATGGCCTTCGAACCTTAAGTATTTTCAGCTTCTAAAACATGTTTAAGAGAAAAATATTACCAAAAATCTATTCTGACTTTTAGCCTTTCCAAGAACCATCGTCTTACCTCACTTTTGTGTCTACTTCACTTTGGGCCAGCTTTCTAAGGCATAGCATCTATTCATATGAGTAATCAGCAGAATCTCTCATGGAGTCCCTCTGGAGCCACATAAAGTGATTCTGAATGAACCAGAAATGTTTGCTCACACAGCAAACAATCCGGGGTAAAAGTAAATTGTCTTCAGTATTAACGTCTGTCTAGACACACCAAGACAGAACACCATCTGTCAGCACTGTGATCTTACACACCTGTACTTAACAATCTAATGGAAAACCAGTCGGATTTTATTTTCTATAAAATAGACAAAAGTGCAGGCAGTCATTTGTGGAGATGTGTAGCAAGTGAGTTTCGGGTATGTGTAAGCCCGATGTTTTCTGTTGCTCATCAGGAAAGAAAGGCAAGAAAATGACTAACTCCTCTGTTATCTCAGTTGCAACTGCAGAAAATCGACAGTGCCTGCCTGTGTAAATGTATGGCTGGCTCACTGTGAAAGCTTCCTTCTTGGCTCATGTTGGAAATGTGATTAAAGGTAATAGAAGAGATGAAATCAGTATTTGAGATTTCTTTCAGTCACACTGAACGTCTGCCAAGTTTTCTGTCTGCTCCTGTAGGCCTGACAGCTTCATCAATCATCCTCTGGTACCGGGGCTGAAATAGCACTTGCTGACATTAAGGCATGTTGGAATTTTCTTAATTCTCTTCAGTGGATGGAAAAAAAAGCCACTTCCAAAAACATCCCACACATGGAAACGGACAAGAGGGAGCTTCAAATGAAAATTCCCTTTGTATCATTGGCACTTTGGGGAATGCCATTCGTGGGCACCACACAGCTGAATAGCTGCTGTGCTGTCACCGAATCTTGAGTCCGTGCACTAGTGGCATATACTCTGTAGTCACTCGGTTCACACAGCAAAGACGTGTGCTGGGTTTTGTGCATCACACATGCATAATAAATACTTTACCATCTAAGTGTCTATATATCATGAGTAATACAGACCAGGATTAAGCGTTTCCACTTTAAATATTAGGATACTCGCATTTTTGTAATGTTTTAAATATTCGATTCAGCTTCTAACAGGGTGAATTGATTAATCTTCCTTTTGACAGTCTTAATGGTGAGCACTTCTCTTGTTTCCCTACTTTCCAAATCACTTTTATTACATATTTTCACATAGAAATTAATTTTAATAATTGCGTGTTTACAGCATTTGTTCTGTGTTGAACAGAGATACTATGGGGCATGTGTAGCTCACAGGATTATTATTGGTCAAATGAAATAACATTCTGTAGTTTTAAAGCATTAGGAAGGATTTAAGTATATTTTCTGGTTTTTAATTATTTTTCTTCATTTCCTAACATATATGGATTTTAAAACTCTATTACTGATTTAGAATATGCTCAATTTTTGTAAAAGTGACTCGTGATGCTTGAGAAATATTTCACATTTCCAGTTGGGTGTCCATTAGACCCAGCTTGTTATTTATAGAGTTGATCACATTATATTTTTCTGTTCCCTTCTACATGATCACTCAGATTCTAAAATGTGCTAGAATCTTTTTTTCTGGTAGATTTACTAATTTATCCCTAAAACTATTAGTTTTTATTTTATGTGTTTGGGGGCTTTGGTGTTAATTCATACAGGTTTAGAACTGTTTCACTTCCAAGTTTGGAAATGAATCTTGTATTTATAGTTATAATACTGAACAAGATGTACAGAGGAGCCCACATAGTGATGGTCGAATTAGGAAGCCTTTATTAATAGCAGTCAGAGAAGGGGCTAATGCCCAAAAGAACTCTCAATCCTGAGGATAAGCAGGGCAGAGTTTATAAAGCGTAAAAACCACAATTACTTTATGTCAGGGGCAAAGCCTGTAACCGTAGTTACATCAGATCACCATAGTTACACCAGACCAGGGGTAGGTTAGTTAAAGAGTTTTTCAGCTACCAAAACGTTTTGATTAGGAAAAAAAAAGTTTCTCAGAATTGTAGAAACAATGGGCTCCATGGAGATGTAGGTGTAGCTGGGAGAGAGGATGTGCTATCTGGCTGTGCTACCTGGCTATTTGTAAGTTTCCCAGCATTGTAAAAACAGTGTTTCTCCCTGAAACTGCCTGCATGAGATGGGCTGCCTTGCTGGCTGCAGTGGGAATTGGGCAAAAACACAGGGTAAAGCAAAGCCGGCTAGAACAAAATGGTATTAGTTTTGCCATTTCATTCTCTCCCTGGTCTTAGGGCAGAGTCAAAGTCTTGAATCAATATCCTCAGGTAAGAGGGGGCTGAACTGGGCTCTCAGGTACATTAATTTGACAGAGGCTCTGTTATTTGATAAAGTTTAATAACCAGTTAATGAGCAAGGCTCAATCGTTGGAGCCAGAAGAAGGATGAGAGGTCTTGGTAGGCCTGAAAACAAGGTAGTAAGCCATGGATCCCAATCAAACCAGCAATGGGCCCAGGAACTATTGGCCTCTCTCTCCTTTGAGAACTGGTGGCAGGGTGTAGAGGAGGGAATTGGGAAGATGTCTCAGACACTAGAATGGACTGTAGTCTGGACTCATTGAAGAGACTGGAGGTACTTTTAAGAAAGACTGATGCATAATTTTTCAGAATAGGGTCCATTAGTCTAGGTAATAGGAGACAACCTTCTGAATGTAATCTTTTATGGGATGAAACCCACCTTAGAATATATCTAACCTGGAGAAGGACCAGTTTCACTGGTTTCTAAGATTAATTTAGAATTATTTGAGCCAGTTAACAGAGGCAGCCCAAACCTAGGAATTATCTCATGTAGGATGCTTTTTATCATCTGGGAGAGGCCTCTAAACAATCAGAGAATGTGTCTACAAATACCAAAATGTAGTCAGTTTGATGGCACCCAGGAGGGTCATCTGATGAAGCTGGTCCACAAGAAGACATCCAAGGCTGTAGGAAGGAGGATTCTGAAGTCTGGTAGGATCCATCCTCTCATAGGGCCCTTTATCATTTCCTGGTAATGGGAGTGACTCAACAGGGAGTCTGGCAGCCCACTGGGCCTCGAGTGTCAAAGTCCTCTTTCCTTGTAGATCCTGGGATGGGCATGAAAGGGTGCCAAAGGCACATTTGCTAACTGTGAAGATGTTTACCCACTTATCCTTTTCCCAGTGTAGAGCCTGGGTGAGGGTGATGAGTTCAGCCTTTTGTGTAGAGGTGCCCTGAGGCAAAGCTTGGCCCCAGATGGGATCCCATTAGCAGCTCTATCCTTCTGGGTCCCCTCAGTCACAAAACTGCTTGTTTTAAAAAGAATATTTTTATTGAATTTTTGCGCATTTCATGTAATAGGTCTTAATCAAATTTAGACACCCCCTCCCCTCTCCGCCACCAATAGCCCTCCCACCCACTGGATTTTATGCATTCTATCATACATGCCAAGCCCCATCCAGTCAAGCATTTTTATCCAGATGTCCCTCGGTGCATGTTCATCCACTGGAGTCTAGTCAGCCTATCTAGAGTCACTCCCTTAAGGAAGATCTCATCTTCACCCAGCAATAATCAATTGCCAATAGTTCCTTGCCTAAGGGTGGGGCCTGGTGTCCATTTCCTTCATTCCTTAGAGATATGCCAGTGAGAGTTTTTGCTAGGATTTATGTCCTCTCCATCCATGTGTATTTGGCTATATTTACAGTGTCACCCATGAGTTCCCTCCATTGGGAGGGCTTTAAGTCCAATTAGATGTCTGTTGATTACCCTCTAGATAAAAGTGACACAGCCATTGTTGTTATTAGGCTTTGAAATTGGGTTGGACCATTGATCGATTTTCTCCCTTGGCAGCTTACATAGTGTCCTCTAGAACTATGAGAGCTAGTATTGGAGGAGGAGGCTTCCAGCTTAGTTCCGTGCCATTGCTCCAAGTCCTGTGTCTAAGCAATGTCTCAGCAATAGGGTCTGACCTTCAAGTTCTGAGAGACAAGGGCTGTGGCAATAGCCTTGTGTTATTTTGGGAGTCTCTTGGACTACCCTGACCACCAAGTTGAAGGGAGATTTGTCCTGTCTAGCACTGTGTTCTTTGTGATGTAGCCTTCAGGTATACTCATGCACTCAATGTTCAGATTATATGTGTATTTTTCAGGGGATTTTTGGGTTAATACATTTACCCCTGGCTTTTTATGCCACCTAATCTTTATCTCTCCTCTCCCTGTCTAACCTTCCTCCTCTATCCCCAGTTTAAGTGACCCCATTTTTCCCCTTGATAATACCTGTCTCCTGTTATTCCTCCTCTCTCGAGTTCCTTCTTCCCCTTTACCCCTAATGTTTCCTTGTATATCCTTCCCTCCTCCTTTCCCACTTGAATACCCCTATTTCCCCCTTGGTAACATCTGTTTCCTATTATCCCCCTCTCTCAAGCTCTTTCTTTCCCATTACCTCTGTGCTTCCTTTCCATTTTCCTTGCTTCTTCTGTTACATCAGGATATATACTCACATATAAGGGTGTGTCCCAGAGGCCTGATTCCTCTAAGGGGCGGGGCCTGCCATGGAGAATTGGCTGCGGAGGGGCTTCTGGGAGCCATCTTGTGATGGAAGCCGTGAGCCGCCACCAACGTGTGGCGGTGGGGGTGGAGAGAGATGTCCCTGGTGTCTCATCCACGTAGAAGCGAGAGGGGGCCATTTACTGACCTGGGGTGAGACTGGGCCCAAGATGCGTGGGTAAAAGTTAACAGAGACTGTGGGCAGGCGCAGAAGCGATCTGGAATGGAGGGCCGAGCCTCACAGAGCTGGGTGCCAGGTGTGCATTTCTTTGTTAAGTTCCCCCACTTACCCCCTCCTACCCAAGGGCATAAACCCATAATAAATTCACATAAAAATATGTTATATGGTTTGTCTGATCGCACAAGAGACCCCCCAAGAGAACTTGGGCGACAAAGGGATTGGTGCTACGATCTGCAAATGAGGGAGAATATATGTCTCTTGCTTTTCTGAGTCTATGTTACTTCACTTGGGGGCCCTGGCAGGACTGGGGCTCAGGGAAGAAGGCAGATGGGAAGAAGGGCTGGAGTTTGGCAGGGCACCTGTATGCATTTATAGCATCTTAGGTAAGAAACTGGCACTGAGGGAGACATCCCTGGACCCTCTTTCACAGTACAGCTGTGGGTGGTTGGAGGTACTAATCTGTCTGCCATAAACAAGGTGGCAGGAAACCTGGCCATGTGGAGGAAGGTTATGGGCAGCTGCCTTGGAGTTTAGGGTGCTGCTAGTATATACAGGAGTCCATAGAACAGTCATAGCTTCACAGTAACTTTAAATCAGGACCCAGGCCAGGACCTAAAGGACAATTGCCTGCAGTAGATAGAGATGCAGTTGCAGCAACTTTTGAACAACCACAGAATAAAGGAGGAAGGACCCTGAAGGTCATTGCATCCCATAAGCATTAGTAGTTACAATTAGTAGTCTCTCAGCATTCCCCCAAACCCATTAATGGGACAGCAAAGGTGGTCTGTGGTCTGTCATGTTCCATTTTGTGGCTTTTCATTTGTCACCCAGTCAGTCCTGATCAAGCCAGTAAGACTAGGAGATGAGAAAGTCTCTGACAAACAACAGGTGGAAGCATCCAGCCCCCAAGATCAGAAGATGTGAGGGGTACAGGAAGGCAAAGACAGCACTGTTCCATGCCTCACCTGGTAAGGAGATTTATTTGTAGCCTTTTAAAATTTTTATTTTCCCTGGCAGATATTTCATGTAATGGTTAACACTGACTTGAATTAGTCACTATTATAAACCTGGCATGGCACAGGGCATTAGCCCTCTTTTAACCATTTCCTTTAAAGAATATAATCCCATTTTGAACAGAAATATTTTGTAATAAAGAATCATTATCCTTTTTTATGTTATGCAGAAATCCAACCAAAATTAAACCAAAGCAAAGTTTACATTTTCTACAGGCTTTTTTACAATTTACTATATATCCTCAAGTTAGATTTCTCTGGTGCAATCAGGCA